ACCCTGGTTGCACATACCTCTGTTGGGTACACACACCCTGGGCGCACATACCTATGTGAGACACACTCCTGTCAGGTGCACACACCACTGTTAGGCACACACCTCTTTCAGGTACACACAGGTGTGACATATTATTTTCTCAGTCAGTGTAGTGTTAGCATCCTGCTCCTGGGGTACACACCTTGTACACTCCCCTGCCCTTGCAGGTGGGAGGAGTTGTGAATATGATGGGATATAGTGTTACATAAGGTAAAGGTGAAGGGATGTCACAGATGCAATTAAGACATCTCATCAGGTGACTGAGTTCATCAAAAGGGAGATTTTCCTGAGTGGGTCCGGCCTGATCAGGTAAAGCCCTGAAAGACAGGAGAAGTCAGTAAGGAAGAGGGGAGACCCTTGCCTATACACCTTGAGAGGCAAACTGCCATGCTGTGGAGAGGACCACAGGGCAGGGGTTATGGGCAGACTCCAGGAGCCAAGCCCCATAGGCCTATGGCCACAAGGAACTGAGCTCTGCCAAGAGCTAGTGGGCTTGTTAGAGGACCCTCAGTCAGATGCGCCGGCAGCCCCTGCACGACAGAAAATGAATGCACAGGCACCTTCACTACTGACACTACAAGGAACAGAACCGGGCTCAGGCTGCTGAACAGAACCTGATACCCCTTCAACAACTGTCCGACTCCACCAGGGGAATGAGCTGGGCTCCCAGGGGCTTTGAGCCAAGAAGCACATGACTATGACAACTGACTGATGAGCCACATGCCAGCAGACAGGAAGTAAGACTTGAGGAGCTGGCAGGGAAATGCAGATTGTGACTTTGGAATATTGCTGGTATTCTCTTTAATGTTGTATTTACTAATGTGTGCACAAGGAAGCCCCTTCTCTTTCTCTTCATCTATCTCTAGCCATAAATTCAGTAGACTGCTTTCAAAGCTGCAATGTAACACTGCTCCTGAACTTTCAGAATTGAGGAACACTCACACCAAGACGCTTTACTCTTCCTGACAATGTAGTTTATTGCATAGGTTCAGTAAGAATGTGTCCTCCTTTTACTTGGATATAACTGGGGAAAAAAAATGTGCCACCAACCCCACATCTGAATTGTCACATCTCCTAAGCCATCCACAGGAAGGATCCTTGCCCAGTGGAGCCAATGTCCACCCAGCCCTCACAAGGGAGCAGGCCTGTCCCCTATTCTGTACCTTACAGGGGCACAGAAAATTGCAAGGGCCTCAAATTAAAGAAGTTCATAAACATTCTTAAAGACTCTGGGCAAAACCTGGTGTGGAAACATTTATTTGGTTTGGCTTCATAGTTCCAGAGTAGAAGAACAAATAAAAGCAATCTTAAAACTCTCTGGAATGACAGAGGCTACTGGAAAAGCCATATTCATTCCCCACAAAGCTTTGGACAGAAATGAATCCTCTGACCTGGCCAGCTGCTCTCCCTCCGCTGACCTTACAGTGGGACGCCATGCGCCTGAGCACCCTTAAGCTGATGCAAATCAGTCAGGCCAAACACCACACAGATAGCTTCCTGGTGCAGGGGCTTGTGCCAGAAAAGCACGTTCTGAGAGACTTCTTGTTCTTAGCCAAATTTTTACTTTATGTCAGTAATATTCTGGAATATTTAGGTACTAAAGCATCACCTTTGCTCAATTGGTTATTTTAGTCAATAAATTACTTTGAAGGAAGAAAAATGTCTACTTTTTGTCACAATATCTGAGGATGCAGAATTAGTGCCCTTAAATAATGTGCTTCATTCGAAGGCCCTCAGTGGATTGACAATCCACCCAGACTGCCCATCTCCAGGACCTCCGCGCAGAGAAGAGCCCTACAGAGGCTCATGGAGCTCCTCACCAGGACACCACCAGGCACCAGGACAGAGGTCAGTGATGGCTCCCTCCTTCTGGCCCCAAGAGCTCTCCTGAAAAGCGCCTAAAGACGCGGCTGCTTCTTGGCACTGGGCTCCATGCCACTCCTCACTTCTCCTTTCAGTCAAGGCTTCAAGAGAACTCTAGTTCTTGAACAGTCGATCAGGCAGCCACACTGTGCACAGAGCAGGAGGTGGCAGCGATGCCTGGTGGTAGCCACAGGAAGCAACATGAGAAGTGGCTTAGGCATCACAGTGATATGGACACTCCTAAGCCCCCTGGAGGGAGCAGCACCATCCCAGAAACAAAAAACTGTCCTGCCCAAAAGGACTTCAATGCAGGTGGAAAGGCTGTTCATAATTGTCTAAGCCCAGACCCAGCTGAGTTTTGGATTCACATAATGCATTTTTCTACACTTTTAGTATACACTCAATGTTCCAAAAATACAGAGACTATCTAGAGATAGGGAAGACTGAATGCTGCTTCCTTCAGGGCTGACCATTTTAGAAAGTAATACCACCCAGTTCCACTGCGTATGGTTGTCAGGCCACGAGCTCGGTACCCCATATCTGCCTGCACTGACAACCCCATACCACTCAGTGGTTTGAGTGAGAGCAGGAGTGCCTGTGTTCACACAGTGGCATAGAAAAACATTTTATTATGTATTTTCAATTTCTCTTTAGATAACACTTGGGCACGATACTGCTATAATTACATAAGGTAATACCTTCTATGAGCTTCATTTTAAAATAAAAAGATCAGCTAATAAATATTTGTTAAGAAAACAAGATGTGGTGTGTGGTGGCAATGAGAAAGACTGAGAAAGCCTTCCAAGTTTAAATAAGAGTCAAGGTTTCCTGAAGCCCTTCTCAGCAATTCCCTTTGAGCAGCGGAATTACTATAGGAATTCTATCTATGTATCCCTCCGAGATGTTCCAGCCTCAGAAGATAATCTCATGTATAAAAGACACAAGAAGTAACTTCAGTCTTTTCAAGGAAAAAGAAAGGCAAAAACAGTGAGACTGTCTGAAACTAAAAATAATGCCCACACCTACAGTGAACCTGTGGCTACACTGCACAGACAACAGTAACGCAGGAGCCAAGAGGGAGGCTCAGAGAGAATCCGATGGTGCAGTGAGACCGTTGACGACTGTGCTTCCAAAGATTTTTCAGCCAAAATCTTTCATGTTTATTTATTTTTATTTAAATCACCATGAAGAGGGAAAAGAATAACACACCAAACTGTTTGCTGTCGAAATTAGCTCTTATTTTATGAAAGAAAGGAAAGACATGATTTCTATCCTGCAGCTAACATTTAGTAACACAGAATCAGGAGGAGGAGATGTGACTCATCATGTCGTAATATTTTATAATTTCCAGCTCTTTAGTTTTGCTTTCTCAGCACATGCTTTAGATATCTCCTTCTGGCCTGATTATATTTCTATGCTTTTAAGAACAATTTATTGGTACAAAGAATTATAAATAATTCATTTTTCTAGTATACAGTTACATTATATAAAAATACTTGCTATTTCACATATATAGCATAATTAATGCAATGCTTTCCTCTATGGCATGTTAAAAATAGGTAGTCATAAATTAACACTTAACTTGGCAATATTAAATCACAATGTCTCTTTCAGACTCATTCCAACTCTGGGATTCTCATTCTTTCAATAACCTCTGGTTACAGAGAAGCTGATTTCCTATCACTAATTAAGTTAAAAGAAGCGTTATGGCTGAAAATAAAATTCTGTCCCACTGGCACAAGCCAAGATAAAGGTGACCTGATTTTGACCTGCCCATACTTGGACTGCCTGTGTACCCTCCCCTCCCCCTGCCAAAAAAAGCATCGGTTGAAGCTAAACCACCTTTAAAGGTCTTACTGGGGAACCAGTTATCTGAAATTCCTGACATTTACAGACAGAAATGGCAAGTCGGGCCTTTGCTGGCACAAACTCAAAACCCACTAGTCAGATATGGGCATGTCTCTACTCCCCAAAGACGGTGTCCCCCGTAGGCTCCCAGCCACTCCCATCCATCCAAACTCACGCCCTGGTGATTGCCCCCTCCTCACGGCTCTGCATGCCATCCAGAACTCCCAGGTAGGAGCATGGCCATCCCCTCCCTCCATGTCCAGTGAGTGGCTCACAGGAGAGCTGCCAAGCGAGCTCCTAGTGCCTGCCATGCCCAGAGGGCATCTGAGACCCAGTGGGTGCTCGTCAATATCCACAGAGCAAATGAATACAGGAGCACATCTGTGTTCTTCAATCCTGCAGTGGCCCTCTGACACTTTCTCCTTCCCCTAACCTCATCTAAACCCATGAAAAAGCTTCCTTGGAAATGTACAACTGGATTTTCTTGAGTTAGTCACTCAGCTGGTTATAAGTAAATTAACCTGACACCATACTAACATTACTGGGATCTTAGTATTTGACTCAGCTTCTCTCAAAAGCAGACACTGAATCATGGGATAGTCACTAAAAATAAGTACTATAGAAATTTTCTTTTTTTTTGAGATGGAGTCTCACTCTGTCACCCAGGCTGGAGTACAATGGCGCAACCTATCTCACTGCAGCCTCCGCTCCCTGGGTTCCAGAGATTCTCCTGCCTCAGTCTCCCGAGGCTGGGACTACAGGCGTGTACAACCATGCCTGGCTAATTTTTGTATTTTTGGCAGAGATGGGGTTTTGTCATCTTAGCCAGGCTGGTCTCGAGCTCTTGGCCTCAAGTGATCCACATGCCTTGCCTCCCAAAGTGCCAGGATTACAGGGAAATTTTCTTTTAATTACTTCGAAGAAAATAATAATTGATGGTAAACGGCTTTCACCAAGTCTACTGCCTGGCATGAAGCACTGACTCAAGAAATGGTGTGATCCCAAAGAGGGTGGCAGGTGCCATATATGCCACTGGAGGGCAGCAGGTACCACCCCAGAAAGAGAAGAAGGGTCTCATGAGTAATCTAAGGCTGCAGTAAGATTAGAAATACAACAGTAACAGATAATCTGTGCTGTTCAATAAAGCACCTTTCAAAGGCAAGCCAAAAGACTGAATTAAGCAGTTTGCATCAAGAAAAAGGCATTTTTACCAGTTAGATTTTATCAGATCTTTGCAAGTTTTTACTTACCTTGAAATTTGTCTAGCTTTATGTCTGCTCCGATCCCAAGGCAGCTTCCTTCGGTGTGAGTGGAATGAGAGAATATCTTAGCAGCACTGAAGTAACCAGGACTCTGCAGGTGGCCAGCGTCAGTCTCCCTCAGTCGCTCCTTAAGCTCTCCATGCCAGCTTGAAAGGCTCCACTCTGTGTAACAGAGATTCAAGGACTTCACACTTGTTTCATTCAGTATCAAAAGCTTTTTCCCCATTTCAGAAGTAAACTCGATAACAATAAATAGTCTTCATTAAAAGTCTTCCTAAATACAAGTTTATTTTGAATGTATTCTTCCGAATCTGTAAAGGGGATCTGCACACTGGATGTCGTCTTCTTCCATCTGCCCGTAGCAGGGAGAGGCACTGTGACAGACGCAGCCAGATCACTGCCGCCCAACATACTGGCATCAGCCGTGCCAGGCCTCACGCTGAGGAGTGAAGTCTCAGGCAGAAGTACTCATGTAAAAAGTACTCAGATTTACTCATCTTTTTTACAATACGCACATGCCCCCTACGCATGCACACATGTGAATGTGAGTCCAGATACAGAGATGCACCATCCCTGCACTTGCTCTGCAGAGGTTTGGAAGCTACAGGCCACCTCTGCTTCTGGAGCAGAGGCTGTGAAGCAGTATCTCCATCTCGTTTCTGCTCTATGTGAAAACATTTTCTACCAGCAAGCCATTAGAGAAAATGTTTCTACATTCTAATATACGTATGAAACCTCAATATGGAGTATTAACATTTTCTTCTTGAAATGCAAATTGACATCAAAAAGAAGAAGTCTGCAATGGGTTTCTCCACTGCAGAGTTCCAAAGAAAAGTCTCTTGGAGCTGTTTCCAGAGACGAGTGGGTTTTGGAGTGGGAACCTGGAGGAAGGAGGTGAAGTGTGGAGGATGAGGTGCCTGTGAATGTGGCTCGGCTCCTGCTGTGCAGACTTGGCCAGGCCATCAGAGTGCGTTCCTGCTGCCCCAGTCACTGCTGCAGTCCTCAAAGGAGATTGGAGGCTACCTTCCAAACCTTCCACCTGTGACCAGCTGATACTCATCTAGAACATACAACAGCTCATCTGCTAGGACAGGCCTAAGACACACAGAGAGACAGGCTCACCTGTGTCCTACACTGGCACTACCAAGACAAATGGGCTGTCACTGAAAATGCTCTATCAGCCTGGAATTACAGGTCACAGAGTCATCTTGTCCAGCGCAAAGGATGTGAACCACATATCCAGAACTGTCCCTACTATCAATAATCCTCTCATCACCACACCAGATTTAAGCTCCCAAATCACCCTCCGCAGTGGTCCTAATCACCATGCCTGGGTGGAGAGCATCAAGTGTGAGAGTGCTGGCCTCTGACCTTCAGCACTGCCTCCTATCAATCAGAATCCAGCTCTGCCACAGCCTCTCCCCAGTAGGCAGAGAGTGAGGCCCCCGAGTGAGCATGAGTTGGGCAGGCTTCTCTGCAGATGGCATCAAGCCCCTCCCTCAATCCAAAGAGCCACAGAGAAATAAAATCCATTCTAGAAGCCTTACACACCAAAAAGACCACTGCCTAAACACAGAAAGAAAAAGACAGCAGAAAGGACATGAAACCAGGATTTACAGAACTGGGTTCTAGTGCCCACATCACATCCCACCAATTCTGCAAGCCTGGTCAAGAAATCTGACTTCCCTGGGCTGTCTGCAGGATGGGAAACTGGATGGGAAGCCCAGCCTCTCTGGGGAGGGAGCAGGTGATATGTGGGATGGATTTTGGAAGTTGCAAAGTCTAACCATCAAGTATTAGAATGGTTGCCTCTAATCTGAGTATATTCATACCAACTGAGGTAAAACTGCCATACTTGCCGGGGGATTGCAAGAGGTTTCAGTAAAAGCATCACTTCCAGGAAAGAGGGGTCCAGGCCACCACCCTAGACTGCAGCCTCACAGCCGAGTGACTGGAACAGTGACTCAGCCCCTTCCAGGCCTGCTCCTATGAAGACAGGATGAGGACGCAAGGAACACCCGCTGCAGATGATGCTGTGAGGATTAAATGGAGGAACAGATGTAGAGTGCTTGGCCCCATGACTAAGATCACAGCAGGATTGCAATAAAAGATGGTCAAAGACACAGGAGTCTTTTTGTCATGGAGGGAGTGGTGAGGAGCAGGTGACAGACAGCAGACAGTGTCCGAAAAAACAAAACAGTAGAGAGATGGAAGATCTGCACTACAATTAACAAGCTGCACGGCAGCCACACGTAAGACACTCCTAACAGTGCATCATACATCAGCTCCTCAAGGACACATGTGCCACTTCTAAAAATAGAACATACCCCAGCCATAAAGAAAATCTCAACATATTTCAAGTGGCTGAAATCAGACAGAGATCATCTTCTGACCATAACACAATAAGCCTAGAAATTAATAGCCCAAGTGTAACTAGAAAGTCCCCATACATTTGAGAGTTAAGCAATACACTTCCAAATAATGCATAGACAAAATAATCACAGCAGAAAACAGAAAATATTTAGAATTTAAAACTAGAAAAGATTATGTATGGAACTGTGTGGCACACAGATAAAGCAGTACATCAGAGGGAAATGTATAGCTCAGTGCTCAAACTAGAATAGGAGTAAAAAAATTAGGCTGGGCGTGGTGGCTTCTGCCTGTAATCTCACCACTTTGGGAGGCCGAGGCGGGCAGAGCACGAGGTCAAGAAATAGACACCATCCTAGTCAACAAGGTGAAACCCTGTCTCTACTAAAAATACAAAAATTAGCTGGGTGTGGTGGCACGCACCTGTAGTCCCAGTGACTCAGGAGGCTGAGGCAGGAAAATCTCTTAAACATGGGGGGAGGAGGTTGCAGTGAGTTGAGATCAGGCCTCTGCACTCCAGCCTGGTGACAGACCAAGATTCTGTCTCAAAAAAAAAAAACAAAAAAAATTAGTGAGTGCCTACCTCAAGTCAGGAAGAGAAAAACAAAGTAAGCTCAAAGAAAACAGAAAAAGGCAGGAGGATCATTTGAGCCCAGGAGCCAGAGCCTGCAGTGAACTGAAATTACATCATCACACTCTAGCCTGGGAGAGAGAGTGAGACCCTGTCTTAAGAAAAAAAAAAAAAAGGAAGGAAGAAATGGAGGGAGGGAGGGATGGATTATAGTCAGTAAACAAAAATCATCCTACAAAGAATACTCCATGCCTACCTAGATGGCTTCTCTAGAAAGTTACATCCAACATTCAACAAGACACTTTTGTGAAGATTAGAAATTAAGAGGTAAGCCAGTCTTACAAATACAGATGTAAAAATCCTATACAAAATGTGATTGCACTCAATCCAATAATACTTTTTAAAGTGATCAATCAAGCACGATCAAGTTGAATTGATGATGGGAATGCAAACATGACTTAGTGTATGAAAATCAATTTATGTAATTCATCTCATTAATAAATCAAGAGAAACACAAAAGAATATACTGATGACTCCCCTTGGATAAAGTTCCACCACAGGCAAAACTGAACTATATTGATTGGGGATGTATTCTTACATGGTAAAATTAAAAAGAAAAGAAAAGGGCAGTATTATTTCAAAATATAGGCTATCATCAGGCACAGTGGCTCACACCTATAATCCCAGCACTCTGGGAAGCCAAGGCAGGAGGATCACTTGAGGCCAGGAGTTCAAGATCAGCCTAGGCCAACACATGGAGACCCCATCACTACAAAAAAATAATAACGCAGCGAGGCATGGGGGTGTGCGCCTGTGGTCTCAGCTACTCAGCAGGCTAAGGCAGGACAACTGCTTGAGCACAGGAGTTCAAGGCTGTAGTGAGCCATAATCCTGCCACTGCATTCCAGCCTGGGTGACAGAGTGAGACCCTGTCTCAAAAACCCAAGGGCCAGCATGCTGGCTCACACCTGTAAGCCCAGCACTTTGGGAGACAGAGGCAGGAGGATTGCTTAAGCCCAGAAGTTCAAGACCAACCTGGGCAACACAGGGAGAACACCATCTCTACAAAAAGTAAAAAAATTAGCCAGGAGTGGTGGCTCATGTCTGTAGTCCCAGCTACCATGGAGGCTGAGGTGGGAGGATCAGCTAAGCCTGATAAGTTGAGGCTGCAGAGAGCTATGATCATGCCACTACACTCCAGCCTGGGCCACAGAGCAAAACACTGTCTCAAATAATAATAATTAATTAATTAACTAAAAAAATATGTATACGCACACATAGTATATATTAGATGTGTGTATGGATGTGGGGAGCTGTCATCCGGAAAGAGCATGAAGGAAACTGTGAGGTACACAATATCTATTTAACCTGGGTGAGAGTTACATGGACATGCAATTAAAATTATTCTCTTAGATATGTACTCATCTTTATGAAAGGTATCTCATAATAAAAATGTATTAGAAAACAAATAATTAGATAATGGAACAAAAAAAATGCCAGCAATGACAACTAGCTTCACAGAGTACTAACAATAACAATGGGACCAAGTAGCTGCTGTATGATCAACCATATGAAACAACTAACCAACAACTGCAACCCGCTAACTATCTGCCACAGTCAGAAAAGAACTAATGAACTGCAGGTGCAGAAAAGTTACCAGATTATGCGCAAAGGCAACTAGAAATTTTATATTCCTCACCAAAAAGAGAGAGACTGAGGAGACTATGTTCAAGGAGATCGTGCTTGGAGGTGCTAAGAAGCCAGCTCACAAGCTAGGGCCAAGAGCTTCAACCTGCACCGTGTTCTCCATTTGCCTGGAGCAATCCTGTGAAACTGGTGGGGAGTGAGCCACCAGAAAAAGTGGATGGGGAAAGGGAAGTACTGTGGGATAAGCAGCTCTGCACATCTCTGGTCTCCATCCACTGACAAGCCAGGGGCCGGCAGCTCAGCTTCAACCCCAGCACTACCATCTTCCCAGAGCTTTCTCTGGGTGACTGCTCCCAGTTTCAGGAAATCCTCTTCTGAAAATAGCATGACCCCAAATTCGTCAAGTTGAGGGGGTTTCCACATGGGTTTATAACCCACTATCTACTAACAAAGGGAAATTCCAATACTACAGCAATGCTATGAAAAGAGGGACCATTGAGGATTTTACATGCCTCCTACCAACAGCAAGTACAATGCAAGTTGTATGAAAACACATTTATCATTCACAGCACTTGACGGGTTTTCTGTGCCTGTA